TTGAAAATAAGCTTGAACAAATTTCAAATAATTAGATTTAATACCATGGGATTTCTCAAATGCTTGTTCCTCAACTTATCTTGATAATTGCAAGGGCTATTGGAAAGCTAATTTTTGCATTAATGCTTGTCATTCATGGAATGTTACTATTGTTTGTCCACTAGAACCTGTTGATTGCAGTACACCTGTACTCATCATCGAATCTCTTCGTAAGTTCTAATAAACAACTTGACTAGAGTGTATGAAGAGCACGACATATGGCTTGTCTCGACAGATATCATATCGATGAAAGTGAAGAGATATGTCAGATGTCGTCCTATTAAATCTGCTGAATTTTTAAAAGTTTTATATGACAACTACAAAAGAATTTCCATTCCACTGAACCGAAAATTTTTCGGTGCAAAAATTTGAAACTTTTGAAATTCAATGATAAACCTATTCTTTTTTTTACAGTTTTTATCATTTTTGTTTAGAATAGAATTCAATAAAATTTAACAACATAATATATTGATACTTAAAATATCATCTATGAGCCAGTTCAAATCCGAAAATAAATCCATTTTGGATAAAGAATACTATTGAAATAAACATAAGCTTAAAGATCCTTCCTTGTTTTTCTTAGTCAGAGCTTGGGTTGAGATAAACTAGATTCCAATTGAATATCCTCGCGAACTCTACAACTTCTTAGATTCGACTAGACTCCAATTAAAATTAAACATAATTTAATATAAATATATACGATCAGTTCTTTATTCTCATCTTTTTCAATTATTTTTGTTTTTAAATCTTTTCAAAACTATTTGGTTTTGTCTAAATCTCAACTTCGCCCGATACATATATTTTGAGTAGAGAAAATAAATGATTGACACAAAACTTCTTCAGGACTACTTATATTTATAATGCATATCAAAAGATACTGAAAAAAGAAGAAAAATAGTTACTATTCGAAAAAGATAGTTATTCAATATTCCAGTCATGTACAAGAAACTAAATAGTTTTGTCCAGATTATTTCAAAAAAAAAAAAGAAAATGAAATTAAAGAAAACACTCAATTCCTTAGTATCTAGCGGCGTAACCAAGAGGAAGAGAAGGAGCAAATGGACAATTACCTATTCCATTTAGAGATTTGCCCACTGAAATTTTACTTTTTCAGAATTGTTTATTTATTTTTGAATTAGATAGTAACTGTATTGTTTTTTCTTCCGTCTGAATTACACATTCACTCATCACTTGTTCTTTCTATGAAGAACTAAACTGAACAAAACAGAACAACAAAATGACAAGTGCACACTTGTATATATACATGTTCTTTCATCTTTTCTTATAATACTAGTATAGAAGAAGATGAACTATAATCTATCTTGTCCAGTTTACCGTCTTGTTTATTCTTCCGTACCAATATTATAAGAAAAGATGGAAGACAAAGAAAAAGAACAAGTATGTATTTATACAATTGTGCACTTGCCATTTTGTTGCTCTATTTTGTTCTGTTTTAAATTGAAGAAATTGAAGAAGAAATCTGATGCTTTCGAAATGTATGTAAATTAAATTGTTATACAAATATATATAGTTATTAATAATAATAATAATATAATAATATTCAAACTATTGTGGAAGAGTAACAAAAATACTGAACTAATTGAAATAACCTTCCAGTTAAACAAAAAACAATACTAATACTAAGCTGTGTCGAATGCAAAAGCGATCCAATACGTTATTAAACTGTAGATTTTCTTCCAAAAAAATATGTGCTGCTACTGAAAATTTAACATCAAATTTAAATACACCTGCAACTACTATAATTACAACTACAACGACTAATGATGATTTCAATTTGTTTTTATCCAGTGATCCAGAAGATTTAGATCAGGTGAGCGACGAAGTTAATTTTAGCGTTGAAAGTAATGAATTGAAAGTGACTAATTCTCGACCCGACACCAATACAAATGATATAGGTTATTATGTATCAAATAAACTTTCAATTAATGATCATTTGAAATATTCTCTATTAACAAATCATTTTAAACTCGATAGAAAATATTCATTTCCAATGTTATATTCGGATGATCATAAATATTCTCGTCAATTCCTAATCAATTGGTTAAACGATAATTCATTTCTCCTGTTTATTCACCGTATATTGAAGATGATTATTGCATAAATTGTGTACTATTTTGTAACGTACAAGAGCAAAAATTAGAATTATTTGTTGATAAACCTTGTCATCGATACAAATATTTGAAATACTTCACTACATTATTGAAAAGTTATATGAATTCATAATTTCATCAGAATTCAATAGATGCGACCACTAATTTTTATACGTACATATAAAGATTCATCGTTATCAATTTTATCATTAATTGATAAAGACAGAATTGAGAAAATCAATTGTAATAAAGCAATGTTAACATCAATTGTAAAAATAATAATTACTTGTTCACGTCAAAATATTCCTCTTCGCAGTCATAGGAACGAAACAATAGATGATGTAAAAAAAATTATAAATGTAATTGATTCTTATTCTGGTTCAAATTTTATTGCATTGTTAAAATAATGTATCGGATTCGGATGATGAAATTCTTCGTGAACACATTGAACGTGAACCAAAAGAATGCATTGTATACAAGTCTGTTAGTTCAGAATGAAATTATTGACTGTATACACAAATATATTTCCAACGAAATTTTGCATCGAGTAGAAAATTGTTTGTTTTCTATCATTGTTGATGAAACAGCAGACATATCAAAAGCCGAATAATTAAGTCCTTCATTACGATATTATGATCAAAAAACAAACGATATAAGAGAAGATTTTTTAACATTCATAGAAACTGTTTCGTGTATGGGTGAAACAATAGCTAATATTATTCTTGATTATTTAACAACGTATAATTTACCGTTTGATAATAGTCTAGGTCAAGCATATGATGGGGGCTCAAATATGGTCGGTATCTATCGAGGTTGTTAGGCATTAATTAAACAGAAATGTCCAGATACAGAATATTATCATTGTTCTAATCATTATCTCATTTTAGTACTGGTTGATAGCTGTAGTATTTCACAAATTCGTAACACGATGGAAACAATCAAGAAAATAATTAATTTTTTTAAAGATTCACCAAAACGAATGCTTGCTCTTTGGTCTGAAAATACGGACCATCAAGAAGAATATATTTATTTAACAAATAAAAAAACGTCTGTTGAGTTTATGTGATACTCGATTGATTGATAGAAATACGTCAATTGAAACATTTTTAGAATTATATATTCTAATTGTTAATACATTAGAGAAATTTAGATATGAAATATTGAAAGATTCAACAGCTGAACAATTGTATCATACCATAATCAATTTTCAACATATAATTTCAACTTGTATTTCATGTTTTTTATTATCAGATATTGTTCCCATTAGTCGTTTACTACAAACAAAAACATTGGATTTTTTTATCAGCTAATCGATATGATGATAATTCATTAGATACATTTGAACAATGAAAATATCAGACTCAAAATTATTTTCATAATGTTGTTTATAGCCATGTTGACGAATTATGTAAAGAACTATTTGTCATACTATATATTCCGCCTCATTCAATATTAACTTTGCGAATAAAAAATATGTCAATTTGTAATCCAGAACAATTTTATTGTGATCATGTTTATTGATCATTCTTAGACGAACTAATTAATAATATTAAAAGTTGATTATCTAGCTTAAAAAGTAAGCGAGTTATTTTATTAAGTAAATTGTGACCGAAAGAAATTATAAATGAAACACTATTTGAGTTAACAAAACATTTATCGAAACAAGTCGCTGATCATTTACCATCAACATTATAATTAAATTCTGAATTATAAAAATAGCAAACAAAATATAATGATTTGCTTCAAATGGATGATGACTAGAGAACAAAAAAATGGTTAAATGAACTAATTAAAGAGGCAGACAATGTAATATACTAAATGTTTCGTATTTATTAATTTTTTTGGAAACATTGCCTGTATCAACAGCTTTTGTTGAAAGAAGTTTCAGTCAATTATCGAGAATTAAAAGTTATTGTCGATCTACAATGAAACAAAATAGGCTAAATGGACTTGTTACTGCATACATTCATAAACATTCCGATATAAATTCATATAGGAATATTGAAATTATATACAGAAATGCATCATTGTCGTCTTGATTTTGGTGTTTGAATTTGCAATATAAATGTTATAAACAGAGACATTAAAAATTAACTAAAACACACCTGACTCAGTCTTAAGATCTCAGTTTGATGTATATTTGATTAAAAGAACCTTATTTCATTTTTTTTTAATGTTTTGTTTTACGTTATCAGTACTTTGCTGGACCAAAAACCTTTTGGCATATCAATAAAAACCTTGTCCATTTTGTCCATCATTTTTTTTCGATACAAGAGAAGTTTGCCCATTGGTCTAAAAATCCTCGTTACATCACTGTTAGTATCAACAAGAAAAAAAATTTTGAGAAAAGAATCAATGCATGATTTTGTAGAGATTACAGAACTGAATAGTTTAATCAAGTTTCGAAAAGAAATTATGAAAGTAAATTTATAAAAAGAAATATTATATTGCATCGCAATAACAAACTAGAAAGATATTATTTTAATTAATAGAATCCAATTTTGTTTGATTCTTAGTTAAAATTATCATCTTTCATTAATATTCTGTCGAAACTACGATTGTTTCTGATAGTTTATTAGAATTTTCTGTGAATTATTTTTATAATAAGAGGAGCACAATTTAAAAAAAAACAAAGCGGATATTAGTACAACATAAGTCTTTATATTGTTGATTGATACAAAATTATGCTCGAGTTATCACAGTTTATCATTTATTAATAATGTCATCATTTTGAATTGATGTCAATAATAAAAAATAAAAAATAAAAACTCTATTTGTCTTAAACAGCTGGAATTTAACAACTCATTCATCAAGAAAAGTTTTGTTTTCTGCTTATTGGTCTTATTAGAATCAGTGCTCCCCATCCTCATCAGAATAAATTTAGTCAGTCACAAACTACCGCTATTTATTCAGTTAATTTTCACGATAATTAGATGATTTTGACATCATTCAAATTCAGCAAATATTTCTCTACTCAATAATATTAAAAATTTCTAAATTTATTTTAAAAATAATCGAAAACAAATGGAGAATCTTCGCGTTCTGAAAAAGCTATTCGACCTATAAGATCATCGTTTGTATTGAATAAATCATGACAAGTTATTCTAAATAAGTTTCTCTATCGTAATACATCATTAAAAGCAATGCATAGCTTTTTCCCACTAATAAGAATAATTATGTATCGAAAACAAAATAAAATGCATACTAATCTCACGTCATTGCTCAATAGGATGAAATATGAAAAAGAATTGTATTTTATTATTAGACACATCCCTCCATTATTTCATTAATATGTGTCACAATGAACATGTGTTTTACAAGCTAATATCACTCTGGAATAAAGAAATCATTAGAATGGGAAAGAAATTTCTGTTTTCAGGATCTTGTTCTCAAACTATATCAAGTATGTACGCTAGAACATTGCATTAATAATGGAGCTGTATGCATTGAAAATGATAGCAGATATTTTTCTACACAAGAATGCATCTTAGCATAAATGAACATAGAGTAGCAACAATGTTTACAACAACAATCATTTTTTTTTATAATATCAAAAACTTTGTTTGATTAGTCAACTAAGGCGTAGTTTATTTTTTGTTTTTACTCTCGCCCCCTCTCTCTCTTAATTTAAGATAAGCTAAAACCCATTAATTATGATTTATCCAATAAAATATCATGTTTACGTAGTTATATCATGCTTGATTGAGTCTTCATATACAATTGTAATCATTGGTATAAATACACAAGTAATATGCAGGCATTTCTCAACAACACAGTAAGTTTAGTTTAAACATCATCGTTCTATTAATATAAATAATTTCTATATTCTAACATATCATGTATCGTCTATTAACGATTTCATGCTTCGTTGCTGCTATACTGTTTCTTCAAGTTGCTTGTGACGATGATGACATTGAAGATTACAATCTGGACCTGACTCCCGAACACCATCAATCACTCTACGATGGTTCATGTTCTGCTGTTGTAGTGGTGCAAATAGCTGGCCGCCCAGGCAACTGCTACAAAGTAGTTGATAAACTTGATTGGTATGGTCCGACGAAAAAAGCATATTTGACATTTTGGTGCAAATTTCAAGAATTTTTGCAATGTCATAACAGTTTTTTTGTGGCATGGGCTAACAGAAAATGTAGACCCTACATAGGTTTCTGGAGCGCTCCAAATTGCAAATATGCTTACGTATTTGTTGTCTATCCAACCAGACCATGCTGGAAATGGGACTGTCCAAAATATAAACCAACTTGTGGAGTTCATGGGCCAAGAGGCTATATTAACTGAATTTGACCGACATTGAATCGATTTATCATTGACCAAATTAAAGCATTGAACAATCTTTAAAATTCATTTTTCTGCTTCTCTTTATTTTATTCTTCTTGTTCTTGAAAAATTCTCTATTCTCATTTTAATCAATAAAAGTTCACCATAGTTTAGAAAAAAATTGAATCGATTGTAATATATTGTCAATAATAGGTGAATCAAAAAGAAGAAGCTCGACCATCAAAGTCTTTAAAATAAAAGAGAACAAATATCAATAGAGTGATATGCAAGATATTGTAGTTGCATTTGATGATAATTAATAAAAATGAGAGATACCACGCTACTCAAATTTGTCGAATGTACACAAGTGTGTTCAAACTCATGAAGATAATAACTGCAATTGACACGATCAAGATTGATGATTGCACAAAAAATAGTATACTAGTAGATGTAGAACTTATGAACATTGAAAATCAACTGAATCTAACTAATGACAAATAAACAATCCAACAGTGAAATGTAAGGAGAAACAGCGTAGTTTTGTACTGGTCCTAGAAAAAATTTATTCCCCTCCCCAAAAAAAGAAGCAATGCTACCATAAATTTTTAACTATGAGCGATGAAAAATAACACAGATGCTACATTAATAGATTTGGATTATTGTAAATAATTTACTATGGTCAGTATCTGATATAGGCCAAGTTTTCGTCATCCAATCCGACCTGAGATCAAGTAGTGTTTTTCATGACCCAACATGACCCGAACTTAGAGAACGATATTATTGATAAATTATTACGAATTTCTCAATTTCAAAATAAAATACTTGTTATTCAATTTTACTGATCTGTATTTTACCCAGTACAATGTTTTATTTCATTTTGTTTTCTTGGTTGAACCTAGAAAAAGAACGTCATTTACCAGTCTAGTGAAATGTTTGATTGGCGTTTGGAATCGATTTGACTACTCATACTCAGTATACGTTAAACGCTTGCTGATATTGTTAGTACAGTTAAAATTTCGGATGCAATTTTTGTCAAAGATGATAAAAAATCGGTCAATATCTTCTTAAAAGTCAAGCACATTCTTTGTGTTTGTTTTATGATTCTCAAATCTAAGATATCGAGTTAATTCATCTTGTTTTCATGACAGATAATGACAGTTTTCATTATTATCATCACTATTACTATTCATTTGTCCTGAAGAAGTAGTTGATTTTCTAACAATTTCTAATCTCTGCTTTTAAATATTTTTCTGCTTGACATTATTCTTCATGTCGTTATCTATTGTAAAAGTATAATAATTTGAATTTAGCGTAGCAACTACAAAATCTATATCTTGTAATTTTATTTTATATTCAATAATAATGATACACTTATTTCTTTTTTTTGCTTGTAAAAATAGAGTACCGATGAATCAACAGTTGTCG